TTCCAACTTGCTACCACAGGCAGTGTGAATGAACTGAGTGCCAGTTGGGGCTGATCCATCTTTTATAACCTTGCTGTAGGGGTTGAAAGAGTATACAGGGTGTACTGCACAGCCCCAGTGGACACTGCTGGCTAAAAGATTCTGGGCTCATGTGCAAAAGATACATGTTTCTACAATGGGACCATATGGAAAAATACTCAAAGAACTTGCATTGCTGATATTTATATTGCATCTGTGGATGGATAACTTCAATTTTCACTCAAGTCAATATGGCATTATGATGACTAAGCTTATTTTTTAAATAAAGATATTTGTGCTGCTCAAGGACTTAATGGTATTAGTATTAAATAGTATTAATTAATATTAAATAGTAGACTAAGCCAAAAAATGTAGTTCTAGTACAAGAGATTGTTATATTAGGTAGGAGACCACCTCATGTCTACAAAATCCAGAAAAAAAAATTTTATAGGAAGATTAACTCTATATCACAAAATTTCTGCCTGATGCTCTGTAAGCTACGCTTGGATGCTGTCATCCAAGTTGTGCACACAGACTCATTTTTACCTGTGCACCAGAAGAACCACCACAAAATACGGTGTTCCCCAAAGGAAACTGGCCAAAATGTCCAAAAAGAGGTTTTGATCTTCAAATGTTTTATAAACAGTTTAAATAAAAATGGAAAAGCATAAATTTAAAGTGATGGCAGCATCCTTTTATGGTTAATTACAAGACATTAATTAATCTTAGAATCTCATTTTGGAATTCTTTAGTGTTTCTGCATACTAAAGTGCATTGCTGAGTGGACTCCTGTTAAACAGAATACATTGTACTAAATATTCAGAAAATATAGACCAATGGCTCCTCTTGGATTTTAACAAATGGGTTTATACTTGTATTACTCCAGTCTTAAACTTGGTCCATTCACTCCTAGTAAAGTAAGATAATGACTTCACAATAGTGCTTGGTGCAGTTCCATGTGTGGTATTTTCTTGCTGGTGAAAAGAGGTTACTGTTTTCCCCTCAGTGTCCCCCATTAAGTAGCGTGAACGGAATGGAGGAATGCAGATGGTATATTTCACCCAAATCCCTCAGAAGCACTGGAAGGTGACTGGTGGGAGAGGAGATCAGGACAAAAGTATTGGAAGGGAGCCAGGGAGGGGAGGAATTTGGGGCAACCTCACTCATTCTTCCCTTCCCCTCCATTCACTTAATCTAATTTTTGCCTGTGTGTTTAATTCCACTCTGACCTCAAAAGCCTCCCAATTATCACATTAGCTCCACCCACCCCACATCCTGTGTCTATTTCAGTCCCTGGAGCCCATTTGTTCTTTCCCCATCTCCTCCCCTTCGAAATGGGGAATGGATGAAAGCAGAGGCTGCCTTCCCTCCCTCCCCTATTCTTGCTAGCCATGATCCAGTGAAGGGAGCAGCACTCAGGCACCTTTTTGGAAGGTGTCATAGCAGCTCCCACTAACCATGTGAATTTCACAGTCACTTTAGTCTTCGGAAAAATAAATACTTATCACAGAGAAACAAGTAAGAGGGGAGATATTCTTTTCAAGTTTGCAAGCCAGTATTACATACAAGGAAAAGTAAAACTATTTTTAAAACAGTAGTGTACTATCTGCTTAACACAAAATAATGTATATGAAACAAGTTAATTACTGCATTTGGTGTATTGCTCAAGTTAAAAACGTTAGACTCTAGATTTACTGGCCAGTATTAAAAAAAACATCATTTTTAAATTAAATGTCCAGCTTTTGCCTGAATAAAATAGATTACCAGGTCTAAAGTGGCTGAGTCATAGTTATGTATTGCTGCTTCCAGTATTTTTCTTTAGAACTTCTCATTATTTCTTGAAATGTCATAAATATTTAAAAGAAAAAACTCAACCACAAATCACATTTAAATTCTCAAAACTCTGCAATAAAATACAAGTAAACGTGTTACAATTTGAGCATCTGCTTTCCCAAGACTAGCACATGGCATTTATAATTTTGCCAGTCCCTTTAATAATTTGTTTAGGATAGGTTATGAAGTATGCAAGTCACCTAAAGAATCTTCAGGCAGCAATAATAATTTGGCCTTATTCAGAAGCAAAGCATTTGATTCACCTCATGAGAGGCACTGATAAAAAAACAGCATTGAGCATATCAACACAAAGCAGAAAAATGCCATGCAAAAGCAGTAATTTAAATGTGCAAGGGACTAGAAATAGCCTCTTACACACATTGTCAGCTGCTGCTAACAGCTTCTCTTGTTCAAGTGCATAATCTACACATTTAGTGACAAAACAGCTGTGTATCACCACTACCCTTGTCTCCCAGCAATCCAGATTCTGCATTTACCAAGGACAAAATGCATACTATATAGATTGTTGTTTTTTACTCAGGTGTTTTTTTTTTTTTTTTAAACATCCATAAATGTGAACTTGTGATTGATAGCCAAGCCATTTTAAAAATAGAAGGCAGATGCATACTTATTCATTTATGCAGTGAAACCAATTTAGAAAACCCTTTAAAATATATGCAGACAATTACAGTATTTTGTAGTGTTAGACAAAATACATGGTTCAGTCCTTTCAGTGTCATGTCTGATGAACAAGGCCAGAATTTCCCGCGGTTTTTTGTTACAAATACTCTGCCATCACATAAGTGTCAGTAGGCTACGTTGACAGTACTCTACACTCTAGGGCCAGGTTCTATCCAGGTATTTACATAGCCTCGTGACTAGCAGATGGATCACCCAGAAAAATTCATGAACTTTTTCTGATACTGCAGTAATCGAGGGTGCCACACAGAAGGCCATCCATCATATGTGACATTGTGGAGAAGTTAAGAGAATTCTTTGCATTGGTCTCCACTACAGAGGATATGGGGGAGATCCTCACATGCGAGCCATTCTTTTTAGATGACAAATCTGAGGAATTGTCCCAGATTGAGGTGTCAATAGAGAAGGTTTTGAAACAAATTGATAAAATTAAACAGTAATAAGTCAGCAGGATCAGATGGTATTCACCCAAGAGCTCTGAAGGCACTCAGATATGAAATTTCAGAACTAACAACTGTGGTATGTAATCTATCGCTTAAATCAGCCTCTGTACTTGATGACTAGAGGGTAGTTAATGCAATGCAGATTTTTTTAAAAAGTCTCCATAGGCAATCCTGGCAATTACAGGCCAGTAAGGCTAACTTCAGTACCAGGCAAATTAGTTGAAACTATAGTAAAGAACACAATTATCAGACACAGATAAACACAATATGAGTCAATATGGCTTTTGTAAAGGGAAGTCATGCATCACTAATCTATGAGAATTCTTTGAGGGTGTCAACAAGTATATTGTAAGTCAAATATACTTGATCAACAGGCTTAGTACGATTACAAGTGAATCCTAAAGACAGGCATGCTGGAAGGACGATGCTGAAGCGCTGATTGATAACTAAGAAGCCAGTTATAAATAATCAGGAACAGTTGGGACTGACTGTTTAGCACTTTCAGACAGACATTCTAGAGCAACTGGCAGGGGCTTTGAAAGCGGTTTCCCATAATAGAATCATGACAGAAATAGAAGAGAGGCTGGATTCCCTTGTCTTCCGCTAAAATAGATCTTACTCAAAAACATTTTTACAAGTCTGACAGTAGACTGATTTAGCCTCCTGGAATACAGAACAAATCAGATCCTAACTAATGAAGTCTCATGTTAATCTGCAACAAATTTGTAATTAAATTAGTTATTCACAAAGTCACAGCAAACAAACTTGTGGAGGTCTAGGAGATAACAGGTCCAGTAGGAACTCATTTTACCTCTTGGCTAAAGCTAGAATAGGAACTCTCTGACTAGAAAGAACCTAAACCTGTGTAAGGCACTACATTAGTTAGTTGCAACTTTTAGGAACTACACTCAAAAGCATATGTTCGCTTCATCTTATTTATACACGAGCAGATGTTCTGTAACAGTGATTCTCAAACTTTTGTACTGGCGACCTGTTTCACATAGCAAGTCTCTGAGTGCAACCCCCCTTATAAATTAAAAACACGTTTTTATATATTTAACACCATTGTAAATGCTGGAGGCAAAGCGATGTTTGGGGTGGAGGCTGACAGCTCACGACCCCCCCATGTAATAATCTCATGACCCCCTGAGGGGTCCCGACCCCCAGTTTGAGAACCTCTGTTCTAAAATAACCACTGACAGCAGTTTTCTTTTGAGACAGAAATGTCCTAAATGGTATTTGCAGGAGACTTACTTGTCACAAAGAAGTTACTATGCTTCAAGCAGTTTAAAAAACTTCTGGTAAGAGTAGCGGTTTGCACATAAAAATGCATCTAAAAAGTATAGTAGGAGTGATAGCTCAATGACCAAACACAGTACAATGTGCTGCCAAACCAGCCTTAAGAACAATTGTGAATATTCATGGCCAGGGGAGAATGGAAGGATCGCTGAATAGGAGTGCTAACCCACCCTTGTGGCTACAGATGGTATGCTATATAATAGTTACAAAAATGCAGGAGCTATGGGTATTCAATAAAAGAAGGAATGTATAAAGCCAAGAAATTCTCCCAAACCACCTCCTCCCCAACCCCAAACTGGTCTAAATGACATTGTTTCAAAAGTTTCAATGCCATGGAAGCCTTGTTTACATTAACATTCTTATTGTTGCTACTAACTGGCAGAGCTCAATTAACAGGGGAAATTTTGCAACCCTCCCCCCAGAATAAAACTAGCTTAAATACAAATTCCTGATTCACTAAACTGAGCAACCTCCACTAGCAGAGTACAACTCAAATGGGACTCCATAGATTCACTGTTGAAAAAAACCTTTTTGTTACATGGACTGCAATTTACACAAGGTATCTGCAGAAGAATTTTAATTGAAAGAGACTGCAACCATCTTAAAGAGTCAAAGCTGGTGGTTTTAATGGATTTAATGTTTTTAAAGCAGCAGTAGGCATTTGCTTGTTCCAGAACAGCCTGTGTAGACTTATTTTAAGCTAATTACCTTTAGGTGGAAAATATGACTTGCTTTCAGCTTTGTGAGGCCAGTCCACCACAAGAGGTCCAAACCTACGAAAGCTGGCAGTGATTTCATCTACAAAAACAAATAAGGAATCTTAAAGAAAATCTGAAGATTAAAAGTGGCAAAACAAACATTCTTGCTTAAGAAAATGTTAGAGACTGAATTTTCTGAAGCTATTGAAAAAACAGGAAAAAGTGAAATGATGAATACGTGAACCTTCTTGAAATAAATGTGCTTTTTTACCTCTACAATACTTTGTTGCTTAAATACCACTAGTTTTGCCTTTCACTATGCAGCTTCACAGACTAAAAGCAGATGTGCAGCACTGTTACAAGACAGAATTTTCTGTATTAGTAGTAGTAATGATGAAAACCAGAAGCCTTAATACAGATTTGCCACATTATTTTTTTAAAACAACGAAAACAAGATGAATCTGAACCATCTTAACTCTCAGACTTCGGGGATTCAAAATCTGGATCTGAGATTTCTCAAAGTATGGGATACTCAGAATCAGAAACTGCATTTGATCTATTAGAAAGGGTGTGTATTGCAAACACTGATCTGAACTCTGAATTCTGGTTGAGGCCTATCTCTAGATATTTGTGGTTAAAAGTAATTAGCTTACCAAACAAACATTATTTAATCACTGTTTTAAATACAGACATACATACCCCAAAAAATCAAACCAACCAAAGAAAGAAAAAAAGTTATTCCACATTTACAGGCTGTTTGTTTTGCATGGAACTGTAACTTTTCTGAAATGTTTTTGCAACTCTTTTTATAGAAGGAATGTTAGTCTTAAACAAACGGATCTGGAAGAAAGGAAAAGCCCAAGTCTAAACCAAGATTTCATTATTTTTAAAAATTCCCTGTACTATGCATTCCAATAGAGCTTTATGAACTGTAACTCACAGCAAAGGTTGGAGATCTGGCTTCTGTTCCTGTTGGAGTTGCTTAAACAGAAACTCAAGACTCAAACCTCTTGGTCAAAATAAGTCCCATGGGAATGTAGGGCAGTGTTTTCGCAATGTTTGATGTTTAATATTATTTCTTTCATAAGGTATTACATGGTTTGGCAAAAAGCTTACTACAAAGTCAGCTTCAAAAAAAACCTCTCTTTCCCTTGTGATGCATCCTTAAATTCCAGTACATGCTTAGTTAATAGTGGATTCTTGGTGTGGTAGGCAGGAATTGAAGAACATCCACAATGGACTGTGGTGAAAATAGGTGTTTTATTAATAAAACAGATACACAATGCAAAAAAATATGATTGTTGACAATAACCTAAGTACCTTTTGGCAACCACACTATTTATAAACTGATTCACTGTAAACATCGGTTAGAAATACCCAAGTAAATGGACTCTCATTTTATTAACTAAAACCTATTTTTATTACAATGATGGACATATTTAACAAGTATAGGCTGCCATTTTTCTCTCTTTTTTTTCTTTCCCACCATGATTAAGAGATGAAATAGTCCAGGACTTTTGAGGGCTTTCACCAGTCATTTAACCCTGTATTTCCATCAATTACTTCACTTTATGTATGTAGACACTTTATATACATAGACACACACCATTCCTGTGGAGGTTACGTGCTTACTAGGGCATATCAATCCATCACTCCTCCACAGAGACTGCCAGCCTCTTCCAACCTATAGCAATCTGCAAAAATTCCAAGCAGATTCCCAAACTCAAGTTGCCTTTGTAATATCACAACACACTGCCAGCCACATAGCCAGGAAAAGTCAGGATTTTTATAAAAGAAAACCAACTCCCACCCCCACCAATTGTACACATCTCGGATTCACAGTACCTTCATCAATGTCAGGAGGCAGACCTCCAACAAACACCTTTCTAGAATAGCGTTCCACTCTTTCACCATTCTGACAGCGAGTTGGAGAGCTGAGACCCGAAGATAAAGACTGATCACCGTGACTGTCGTCTAGGAAGCCATCTTCAAAAGGAAAGAGTGAAGACCGACCTGTAACAGATTTGGGAGTTTCTAGAGTTAAAATTTTCTGGAGAAATAAATGTTCCTTTAAGAACCCAGGCCTACTTAAATCTGCCTTTTTTTAAAGTTATGTTTTACTTCAACAGAATTAACAGTTTACTCTAAAGGCCAGATATTACAAATGGTACCACACATTGTGTCTACCACCACCATCAGTACTACTGTCTTCAGTAGGACTGTTGGTGGTAGGAAACAATATGTGTGGTCATGTTTACAGGATAAGCTGCAAGAGCACAGCTCTCTCATATGCTAGTGCCCATCACTATCTAGATTATAAAATCAGCTATTGAATGTGTGCAAGATTACAGTTGCCTTTGTTTTGTAATAAAATGAGGTGATAGGTCGGTTTTTACGTAAGTAGGTAAAACATCTTTTTCAGTGTAATTATAAGCACACTGCTAAAGCAGTTATGTTTTTAATCCCACTCTCCCTTTCTTTCCTTATTTAGTCAAATTACAAAAATAAATATGCAACAAAAATTCTCAACTATAACTAGCTCACTATCTTAAAACACAGACTCTTCTATTAAAGACATTCCACTGTTGCCAATAGCCAGCATTCAAGCAAGTGTTTTATTATAGGTGTCGTTTACATTTTTCCAAAGCTACAGTTGGATAACCTTTAAGTATGAAATAGGTATTTCTTCTAACTTGAGATAAATGTTTCAGCTATAAATATGGAAACTATTAACTACAGCTGGCTAACAAATGAAAGCAAGGAAAATGATCTGCTTTCACTGTCTAGCACTGTTACTCAGAGAGCCTTGTGAGTGAGATTTAAATTTAAAACAGACCCTCTCAAAACTCTTTACTGTGAAGTTTTCAACAAAAAATATTTTCACTGATTCTTAGAAATTAACGCTACAAGAGATACACAAGATCATTAGGCTACTCCACTGCCGGATTGTTCCCTACAACGTATTTTCTAGTGTTTTTCCCCAGCTAAGTTTAAGTGTGCCAAAAAGCTGTGGCTATCACCTTGTCCCTCAGGGAATTCAAGTGAGGAAAGACCCAGAACAGAGAGTCAAATGTCAAAGTGAGAACAGGGGAGTTTGAACTGAGTGGAAGTTGTGTAGGGTGGTTTAGCAAGAAGCTTAATTGATTAGCAGGCTAAAATATTTTAAAAGTCCTTTATCAAATAATTAGATAAATCACTAAAAAACAACCAAACAAAAAACCTTATTCTCTACATGAAGAAAAATTACACCTAGCTCAAGCTAGTACCCTTGCTGTTAACACCCAGTTTGACCATGAGAGTAGTAGACTAGCAGCAGAATATTCAGGGTGGGTACTACCCAGTTTACTGCAAAGAATGAGTGCCAAATAACTACTTGGCTTGTGCCCACCTAATGTAAGCAGCTCATGACTCTCATAGCCAAAGTACAGCATATTTGGAGTCCAGAGTTGCAGAAGTGGAGGAGCAGAGGGATGCAGGGTCTGCATATAAGGAACATCATAGAGCTTGCCCACTTCTGAACCAATTTCCCTGAGCAGCTGAAGAAGCCAGTCTCATGATTGGGAGAGACTTAGATGGAATGGAAGGACTCCCTCATTTAGATGGGACCCATGTTCAAACTCTGATGCGGCTGAATTTTCCCTCATATAGAGAGGCAGTTGCTCCAGGGGATGGATTTGTAATTGGAAGATGAACACATATTGTAGAGGATTTGATTATTATAAATATAGATAGCTGGGTATGCAGTGACCAGAAGAAACACTCATTAACTTCTTTATTGGGTGCATAGATGTCTCATGAGATACAACATCTTAACAGACTTCCAGATAGTGCTAGGTAGGAGTTGGTGGTTATGGTACATATTGTTATTAATGAAGTAGGGAGGTATAGAACGGAGGAAAATAGGAACTTAGGGAGCTTAACAGAAAGCCAATCGGTGCTGAGGAGCACTCAAATCAGGTAGAGGATGTGAATAGCACAAAGGTATCCCTTGTATCTAGCAGTAAAGGATAGGCTAGAAATTACAGCTGAATTGGGCAGGGACAGGTTAAGATGAAAGGTAATTTCTGTTAATTTAACAAGGTTTCATACTAAACAAATTAAAAAATAGGCACTTGGTCAAAAATAAAAACTATAGATGTTTACATACAAATGAGATGCTTAAAGGCAAAAACAGATGAACTAGAATGTCAGGCAATGAAAAAGACCTTGCCGTAACAGGCATCACTGAAACATGGTGAAATGGCAAATGTCAATGGGATACTGCAATATTTGGCTACAAACTATACAGGAAGGACAGATTAGGTCAAGAAGGTAGAGGAGCAGTAGTGCTGAACCTAAAAGATTGCATATACTCTAATAAGATAAATATTCTAACTGGTGATAAAAATCCCAAGTAATAAGAATACAAATATCCTAGTAAGGTTATATTAACAGCTTCCAGAGGAGGAAAAAAGATACTGAGGGCATAATGTTGAGAGAGATCAAAGAGGCAAAGTCTAATAAAACTATAATGGGGACTTTACCCATATATAGTCAAATATAATAGTAATACTTAATGTCACAGCGAGACAAGGTTTAGAGAAGCAATTTTTCAAAACCTTGAACAACTGTTTCATGGAATTGATAGATTTAGAGAACACAACAGGAGAGGTTATTCTTGACTTAGCCCAAAGTAACACACAGGATTTAGTTGAATGCGTGTGATGTGTGTATAGGAAATTCGGAGGCTTAAGATGCAATTGCAAGAGCAAATAACTAAAGATATAAAAACAAGAAAGTATATCAGAAGTAGAAATCCTGGGAAACAACTGGATGCTGGACCACCATGGGATAGATAAAGGGAGCAATTGAGGAATAGAAGGATAATGCTGGAAAAATAAATTATTTCCTTGCAATTGTCAAAAAAATGGTAGGTTGGGGTAGGCATCTCCTCAAAATTGTTTAATGAAGACAACAACAACAACGAGGCAGTAACAGAGATTGAGGTGTCAGAAGAAGAGGTTCTGGAACTAGTTAAATTAAAAAGCAATAAGTCACCTGATCCAGATGATACATCCAAGAGTTCTGAAGGAAATCAAGAATAAAGTGACTGACTTAGTAGCAAAAACAGGGCATCAGCTACTATGACAGATGACTGAAGATTAGCAAATGTTGTACCTATATTTTAAGAAGGCACTAGGGATGATCCAGAAAATTACAGACCAATAAATCTTGCTTCTATACCTGGTAAGTTGGTGGCAACAATAATTAAAAATAGAATTAAAAGACACCCTGAAGATCATGGCATGACACGGTCTAACCAGCATGTCTTCTGCAAAGAAAAATCATATTTCACTAATCCATTGGCATTCTTTGAGCAGTCTTATAAAATAGTGCATGAAGGAGAAACAGTTGACTTAATTTTTTTGGATTTCCAAAAGACCTTTGACAAAGTCTCTCATTAGAGGTTACTAAAAAACTTAAATAGTCACGGTTGGCAGAAGGAATTACCATCATATATCAGAAATTGTCATTTACTATATGTTGATATAGCACCTAGCACAAAGCCCTGACTTCACTGGCCCCTAGGAGCTGCCAAAACATAAAATGTTAACCAAAAATAAAGGATATCTTCCACTGTTTGCTGTGCTGTTGTAGCTGTGTTGGTCCCAGGATATGAGAGACACAAGGTTGGCAAAGTAGTATCTTTTATTGGCCAAGTTTCAGTTGGTGAGAGAGAGAAGCTTTTGAGCTTACACAGAGCTCTTGTTCAGGTCTGGGAAAGGTAATCTGTCACAGCTAAGTACAAGGTGGATCAGATTGCTTAGCATAAGAAGTTAATATGTTTGAATGGTCTCTTACATGTGAAGCGGGCAGTTTACACCTCACATGTCTGTCACAAAATGTGGAATACCTTATCCAGTGCACTAAATGCCCCAATAACTATGTGGGTGAAACGAGACAATCACAATGCTCTCGAATTAGCTCAAACAGAAAATTAAGACAAAAACACTATCACCGATAGGCAAACACTTTTCACAAATGATCACTCTATATCGGACATATCTGTCCTCGTCCTCAAAAGAAACCTGCACAACTCACAAAGATGAGCCTTAACAACAATACTGGATTTATGGCTCATTACAACACTTTATAACCCACTTAACTCTCCTTTCTCCGAGACTGCATAGGTATTAACTGCTTGCTTAACATATTGTAAGAGACCATTCAAGGTGAATTCCTTATACTAAACAAGCTGTTCAACCTTGTACAGTAGAACCTCAAAGTTATGAACACCTCGGGAAGGGAGGTTGTTCGTAACTCTGAACAAAACATTATGATTGCACTTTCAAAAGTTTACAACTGAACACTGACTTAATACAGCTTTGAAGTTACTATACAGAAGAAAAATGCTGCTTTTAACCATCTTAATTTAAATAAAACAAGAACAGAAACTGTTTCCTTACCTTACCAAATCTTTTTTTTAAACTTTCTCCTTAGTTTTTAGTAGTTTATGTTTAACACAGTACTGTATTTGCTTTTGGTTTTTTGTGCACCTCTGCAGCTGCCTGATTGTGTACTTCCAGTTCTAAATGAGGTGTGCGGTTGACCAGTCAGTTCATAACTCTGGTGTTTGTAACTCTGAGATTCTACTGTATTTAGCTGTGACACTGAGTATCTTTCCCAGACATGAAGAACGCTGTATAGCTCGAAAGCTTGTCTCTTTCACCAGCAGAAGTTGGTCCAATAAAAGATATTAGCTTACCCACTTTGTCTCTCTAATAATAGATCAGAAACTTAAGAAAGTTTTAATTGCTATAATTTTGAGAGGGTTCATTAAAAGCTTTTATCTATATATTTTTATATATAAATAAAATAGCCTCTGCAGAAAAGTTTTATAAGGATAAGACAGCTCAATGCTTAAAGCAATTTCCTATATATATGAATTCATAGTTCTGAAAAAGCATAAACATCTAATATAATGTGGTGATTTATAGTTTTATATGACAGTTGACTAAGACAGAAAAAAATGG